ACGTACGAAAAATCTAGCAAAAACGCTGGCATACGTTGGATAAGCTATGGTTCAGTTTTTCATTTTGTGTATAAGTTGAGAGCCCACTGAAGCACGCTGTCACTCATCGACATATGGCAAATGAGTCGAGAAATTTCGACATATGCCAGCGTATGCTCATACCTGGGCCATAAATTACAGGTAGGTTATTTGATCGTTGACATACCTTAAGTGTCAGTTACTCATAAGTCGTGGCGTCTAGCTTATTCAAAACCTATGAGTAACTTGTGCATATCTTACGCGTAACTTACCCAGAACTTATCTTCGACACATATCAACATATTTGTCGTGTTCCAGACGACCGCTAAACGTGTTTCTATCTTACAGCTACCGTTTAATTGCATATTAGCAGCTTTTTGGCATAAAAGGGGTTCACGGGAGGAAAGCGTTAGTACTCCTCCAAACTTCATGGTGAGAAGACGTTCCACAAAAGACGGAAGATCTGGCAAGGCTAAGATGGGAATCCATACTCGCTGTCCTCCAACATCAGCATGATCTCATCAGTTGGACTCTGTTCCAGTTGTAGGGTGAGCGTGAAGGTGAGTGTGATGGATCCTCCCTGTGTTCACGCCCACGGCCACATCAACACACTTCCTAGCAGATATGATGCTGAATCTGCCGCCACTGCAGACCTTCTTTCTTTATTTTTTCTATTTTATTTATTTTTTTGGCAGACGGTAAAGCAGCTAGGTTAGTATCACGATCAAAGACATCTTTTTATGCAGGCCGGGCGCCTCTGGGCGTACTGCTGCCCCATCATGCATCATTTAATGGGCATTACGCTGCCGTGCGTTATGCATCATTTAGGGCTGTCTTTGGACATAAACTCTGGACTCGCTATGACTACTGTATGTATACCCCCAAATTGAAATAGAAACAAAGAAAGTTCAGTGTATGCAAGCGTTTTACAAGATTCTGGGATGTCATAGCCTCGTGAGACCATCCTGATCTCACAAGCTTTCAAGATTTCGCTCGCTAATCAGTCTGGAGACTCTCCGTTAAAGAAAATTTCGAACCGTTCACCAAACGAACGTCCAATCAGCGTTGGCTTTGAGGCGGGTTGAGGTGTGACGCAACGAGAAGCGCGACAGTTCAGTCTAAAGAACATGGCGGCTTCAGCCGATGAAACTAGCGTTAGCGTGGCTATCGAGCAAGTTTTATCGGAATTACAGAGTATTTCTTCACTGAAAGAAGAGCAAAACACTGCTCTGGAGGCTTTTCTCAGAGGAAAAGATGTTTTTGCTCTTCTCCCGACTGGCTTGTGGTTGTGTTTTCGTCGTTGCTCTGTTAGCATGTCATATGCTTCGTTGATCTGATTGGTTTATTTGGTCCGTCTATCACCAACATAGGCCAATCAGCTAACCGGAATTTTCGCCCCTTCCCAAAATTACTTCAACGGAAGGTTTCCAGATGGATATGCGCCGCAAATCCATCTGGCGGAGTCAGGTTAGGGATGTCAGGCATACTCTGGCTAAATTGTCAAGGTGTGACGGCGGCTTTATAGACTTTTTTTCAAAGCAAAGTGAATGAGCCCCTCCCTCCTGCAAAACAGAGGGATTTGGTCAAAATGACAGCATAAATTAGGCACAATGTCGCCATTTTAATTTGACTATTGACCATGAACCTTTGTGGAGGCTTAAAAAGAAGCCTGCTACCTTCACCAAGCCGGGATGCCGCTGTACCAAACACCCACGGCCCTGGATGTATCACTGCTGCCTCAACTGAACCAGTGGGCAATAAATGGTATCGACAAACATCATCGGGAATATTTTAGGCAGGGATGAGTCTGATGTTTCTTTTTAGACTATTTTTATCCTGTTAGCTGTAATATAACCATCACAAGGAGAACCCGCTGCTGCTGGGAAGGGTGCCGCCATTTTTACACTAAATAGCAGAAGTGCATAACCGAAGTTGGTTAATTCGGCTTAATTTTAATTTTAAATCCTTTTTTAAGCTTTTCTTCCAATAAAGGATTCTTCACTTTGAAACTGTTTTTTTGTTTTTGCAAACAAAAAAGACAGAAAAAAAATTCACACTGGAATTTCTGAAGGAAACATAAACCTAATGTCAGTTCATTTTATACCTTAACCAAATTTATTACCTTTAATCTCTCCTATGAGGGCTAACCTCTTATCCTACCTTGGTGAATGAAAAACCTAGACCTACAGTCTGATGATTTAATACGACTTCATTAAATTCCCGTGATGACTGACTTCCAAAGTTTGGGACCAACCCTTGTACTTCCAGATATACCTTTAAAAATGGGGGCAGCCGTTGGGTACTCTAGGTCACAAGTGGCACTAAATCCAGCGAGTGTGTGTGCTACAACTTCAGATCAGGCTTAAATTGGAAGGAAACTGGACTTTCGCTCAGATTTTTTAAAGACATTTCAACACCTATCCAGGAGTCATAGTTAATTCTGTTGGTTTAACGTAGCAACCATTCAAAGGCTCCAGGATAGGCATCAAAATGTCTTCAAAAAAACAGAGCGAAAGTCTGGTTACTTTTCAATTTAACCCTTTTTTGTGGTTGCTATGACCTTGATGACTGAGAATTTACACAGGAGTGCTTGAACATCAGAAAAAAAATCCAAATAAATATTTGGCAGCAGACCTTTATTTATGGCAGCCACATTTATTTAACTCAGTGACAGCAGCCTATGAGAAAGTAATACAATTCGAATTATGTTTCACATTTGAAACACACGCGTTTGAGCGTTTGGACAGATGCCAGTCCAAGCCTGAGCATACACCTATTGAAGAAGATGAGCCGTGTGATCAGGGGATTGCTGCTGGGCCTGACCAATATCAAATGCTTTCCAAAGTCCATCATGCTATACTCCTGTTCCACTCATGATTCAAACCAAAAACAACAGTTTTCAATAATAGGTGAACCATAAGTCATCAAATTTCCACAACCATTCCATCCCTCACCCCGATTTTCAACTCATTTTTAAAAGGCAGAAGACAAAAACGTATTTCACAGAATGTTAGTGGGGTAGCTTCTGCTTATTTATGTCTACACTGCTAAAAGAATTATCTCAATAAGTATTTATTTTTCTTTTAAGGAGAATTAAGGAGATAAGTAAGACACTTTGCCAATAGAAAGAGATAATTTACATTAAATTAGGGATGCACGATATTGAGATTTTGGCCGATATCCGATATGCCGATATTTTAAAACTCATGTATCCGATAACCGATATCGATACCGATGTTAAAGCTGGACAAAAATAAGTAGTCATTGAAAATAGCAGTTTTGTTATCCATTTCTGACACTTTGAAAAATAATAAACTCAAATATATTTTCATATGCTGATATAAAATTGATTTTTAAAAACGCGGTATCGATCTATTTTACTTTCAAAATCTCGTGAAATTTCATCGTTCTGTTACAAACTCTCGTGATATTTTGCAAATTCTTGTGAGATTTTGTTAGTAAAATAGGTCGATACCGCGTCAATATATCAACATATAAAAATATGGCAACATTTCCTGAATTTTCGGGGGATTTCGTAGCATAATGATGACATATAGCAATATTTCATTAGTAAAAGAGATTGATATGGTGTTTTTAAATGGCAATATATCAGCATAGGAAGATATTGTGATATTTTAATGTATCAATATTTTTTTTAAGTCTGTAAAAAGAAGTTTTTGAGGAAGAAGAAGTAGTATTTTTTTTTAGACTTTAGAAACTCAGAAGCTGATCAAATATCGGGTTAAATATCGGTGTGGTGGCGGATGTCCGATATTCAGTTTTAAGGCCGATACCGATAGGGGGCCGATTATATCGTGCATTCCTACATTAAATATAAGAAAAAACAATTATATTGTCTTATTGCAAGTGCATATTATCTAATTATCTTATTTTAAGAGTAAAAATACTCCTTCCATTGGCAAATCATCTTATTTACCCGCTCAAATTAAAGGTAAATACACTTACTGTAATACCTTTTTACAAATGTTTTGATTGTTTTTGCAGTGTAGCATTAACAAAGCATTTGTTTTAGTTAGCAAAATGGAGGTTAGCAAAGCTAACTCATTTAAAGTTTTCTATTTATTCCCTTCTAATACTGTTTTTCAGCCCGGGTCCTCAACACTACCTGCATGTCTTGGATGTTTCTCAACTCTCACCCATGTGAAATCAATTGATAGCAATCATCTGAATCTGGTCTGCTGAAGCAGAGATGCATCTAAAACATGCAGGGCAGGGAGCCCTGAGGAACCAGGATCTGCACAATGATTCATTGGCAAACCATTACCAGCAATGATGGAGAAGAAAGATAAAGTGGAGTAAAATGTATATAAATATAATAGCAATACTTTTTTCCTTCTCTAAAACCTAAGAAATCTTCTCTGCATGAGTTTCCTCACCAAAACGTAATGAATACATTTTATTGAAAACCTGAGAAACAATGAGCAGCATGTCAAGTAGGGATGTTCCAAACCCATATAAATCATTCCCATAGCCATAAAACTAATATGGGATTTAATCGATCTGAATCTAAAATCTTCGATATTTTCCTGCTGATAGAAACATTCTGCTTCTGGTAAAAGTTTCTTTAACTCACTGGTTAAATTTTACAGGGATCCGTTGTTTCCGAACCTTTTGTTGTTGACTTTTGTTCAGCGTTTTTGTAACATTACTTGATCGAAGCTTTTTAAACATTTTATATTACATAATAAGCAATAAAAGCGTGTATGATAATATATCTGGTCAATATCGCAGCCAATTCTCAAAGCTGCAATATCTGTATCGAAAAATGAAAACTTTGTATTGGGACACCCCTTAGTGATGTCATCAGGGGCATTACCCTCAGAGATGAAAGAGCAAAGACTGACTATATCTGCAGTGAGTGATTTTAGAGAAAAGCCTGGCTTTAACAATAGCAGTGTGTATTGTGTTTTAACATGACCACAGTGTTGTCTTTGTTGTACTGACAGCACCATCATGCTCACCTTCCAGCCAGCAGAGCTGTTGCTGTCGCCTTTGTCCTTGAAATATGGCACAGACCTCACCATCCAGTCATAGATCTGGGACAAGGTCAGCCTCTTCTCAGGGGAGCTTTCGATGGCCTGGGTAATGAGGTCTGCATAGGAGTAGTTCCCCCAGGCGTTCCTGCGGGCGGAGGACTTCCTCAGCTGCTGGGAGGCCGAGCCGCACAGAGCCGCTCCGGGGATGTGTGCGGAGGAAGGGGATCCGTCGGCGGCCTCCTCTTTGCCGGGGCGGCGCTGCACCTCCAGCGGCTGGGAGATAGAGCCGCTGCTCGGCTCTTTCACCGAGCCGCCGTCTTTCTGCGCAGAGCCTCCCTCCGCGCTCCCCCCCTCATCATCCTCCTCTTCGGGGATTACGTCAGCGTCGCTCGCCCCGGGCTTGCCCGCACCGGACTCCGGACGGGGCAGCGGCCAGGTGCAGGAGCGCGGCCGCTTCTGGGGCTCGAAATCCGGATCAATCTCAACGTTCGCTGGAGGCTCGTCAGAGTTCAGCGGAGCCTCGGCCATGTTAGTATCGGTGCCTGTTTAGCTGCTCTGGAGATTTCAGAACCGCTCGGCTCGCATTCCATCAATGTTGCGTTCAGGCTCTCAGGGACGGTTTGTTTTCAATGCATCGCGGGATGCAAACCGGGTCCCGCAGCCCAGACCCCGCACGTGTCCGCCTGTCCCTCAGCGTCGATCCTGCAGCTCTGAGCGCCAACAGACCATCCCTCAGCCCCACACCCCTCACCATGCGCTACAGGAGCTAAATCTGGAGACACATCCAAACTGCGTTCCCTCACGCGCGTCCCGCACACCAGTCACCAGTGGAATTAGCAAACGAGCCCCCCGCATCACAGCTCCATCACCCGGTGCACAGCTGCCATTTTGACCGCCTCCATCCCCCCCCCCAGCACCACCTCTAGGTCCTAATCAGAAGCCCACAGAGCCGCGCTGCGCCGCTCTCCAGATAGCATCAAGGCGGAGGGGAGCTGCTCAGAGCCCGGGGGCTGCTGGAAGGAAGACGGCGAGCTGCGGATAATCCGCCCTATGAAAGCCGGAGGAATGCTGATGCATTCTGGTTGTAGATCCCCGGCATCCTGAGCAACCAGCGCGGTGTCCTCTGCGTGTCCCGCAGCCTGCAAAGACTCCCGCAGCTGCTGCTGCTGCGGTTAGCGCAAACACCAGGAGCGGGGAAGGGGAGGAAAACAGGGCGATCCTGCCCCCTGGACTGCGCTCAAATTAAAGAGACAGTGTGGAAACGGCTGCTGGCCGCTGACATCACCTCTAAAACCTCACTGAGCGAACAAAGGAGGAAGGAAAAGCAGAAGAGAAAATTCATTTTTATAAACTTCTGCGGTTCATGGATTAAATTGGATCATTTATTCTATTCATGAAATAAAACCTAGATTAGCTCTCATTTTATTTCTTACATTTTTAGTCTTATTTTTCTAAAATAATACAAAGAAAAAAGCTCATCCATTTCCCAATATATATATATATATATTTCTGTTCTTGTGCTGGAGTTACATAATATAAATATATATATATATTTAAATAAATATATATATATAATATATATATATAATATATATATAATATATATATATTATATATATATATATATATAAATATATATATATATATATATATATATATATATATATATAAAAATATATATATATATGTATATATATATTTATGTATATATATATATTTCTGTTCTTGTGCTAGAGTTACATAATATAAATATATGTAAATATATATATATATATATCCCAAAAAAAATATGTATATATATATATATATATAAAATATATATATAAAATATATATATATAATATATATATATATATATATTTTATATATATATATATATATATATATATATATATATATATATATATATATATATATATTTTATATATATATAAAATATATATATATATATATTATATATATATATATATATATATATATATATATATATATATATATATAAATATATATATATATATATATATATATATAAAAAAATATATATATATATGTATATATATATTTCTGTTCTTGTGCTAGAGTTACATAATATAAATATATGTAAATATATATATATATATATATCCCAAAAAAAATATGTATATATATATATATATAAAATATATATATAAAATATATATATATAATATATATATATATATTTTATATATATATATATATATATATATATATATATATTTTATATATATATAAAATATATATATATATATATTATATATATATATATATATATATATATATATATATATATATATATATATATATATATATATATATATAAATATATATATTTCACCCTTTTAATACAGAAGAAAGCCAGTCGGTAAAGAAGGTCACTGCTGCTCATGTGTGTCCAAATATTTCAATTGAACGTTGAGTGGAAGGACAAAGTTCGGTAAGAAAAGGCCCACATGCATCAGAGGTGACTGCTGTTAGAGGAGAGTGAGGCAAGGCCATGTTTGCCAGAGGCGTAGCCAGAACATTTTTATAAGGGTTTCTAGGCAATAATCAATGTACACTGAGGGGGGGCTGGTAGTGGATAGGCCCCAGAACCTCGGGGTCAATCTACACCAATCCAACAAGAAAATTAACGATCACATCTATATTCACTAGATAATGACTAAATATGCTTTCCTGCAGCCTTTCTTAACAAATAGACGAATATATTTCAACATCCGTGCTTTCTGGATTAAAGGTTTATTGGAAACAATTCTTTCAGGTTTGAGTTCTGGGGCGAACATCTTTTCCATCGTCATGACTTACCTACTTTTATCAATAATCATTATGCATAAAATTGATATTTACAAGTTCTAATGTCAACATAAATAGATTATTTCATACATGTTTACATAAATAGTTATGTATCTTGCTTTTAGAAATGCAGCTGATAGACTTATTTATCTATCTGCAGAGACACATAATTTTCTCACATGGGGGAGGGGCGGCCTAGTGGTTAGGGCATAGGGCTTTGAATCCTGAGATTGTGAGTCTGATCCCCCACTCACACAGACTGCCACTCTGGGTCCCTGAGCAAGACCCTTAACATCACACTGCTCCCCGGGCGCCTCACAATGGCAGCCCACTGCTCCCCAAGGGGATGGGTTAAATGCAGAGAGGGAATTTCCCTCTGGGATTATTAGAGTATGTAAAATAAAAAAAAATTCTCTTTACCCCATATAACAAAATCTAGCTCTGAAAAGAGCATTAATTCTGTACGTATCATCTTCAATATTAGTAAATTGATGTGCATAATTAACAACTGTGTTTTTGTTGTTAAGTAACTGTTTATGGGTGAAAAATGGAAATGTTTAGAATATTCCACTTGAGAATATTACTGCTGCCACCATCTGTGTTAGAGGGGGAAAAAAGGTAGGGGTGGCCACAGGGACCTGGCCCCTCATCTAGCTCCGCCCCTGATGTTTGCTAAAGTGGTTAGGGGAGATTCAAACTTGGGATGCAGCTGGAGCAAGAGATTCAGGAGTCAACGAACACAGATGTATTCACAGTCATGGACTACAACCATCTAATCCTCTGTTAACCAGATTCTGAGGCAGACACTAGGCTAAAGCAGCTGCATTTCCATTACGAATGTGTGCAAAACTGTTGATAAAAACTAGTGATAAAATCACTAGTTTGTTCACCTGATAACTCACAATAAAATGTGCCTCACCATCCTCCTTTCTAGTTGTAACATCCATTTGTTGATCATGTGACTCGTGGGACGCAACAAAAAAACCCATCCCCTCCTAAACCCTCCCATTGAAAAAAGCATTTTTAGCAGTTTGCTTGTTTGTGCAAAATAATGGTCAATGGAAATGCAAATACTAATAAAAAGGGGTTCAGGTCAGAGATAAAAGTACATTCAGCATTTTTATATATATATATATATATATATATATATATATATATATATATATATATATATATATATATATATATACGCACTTTTGTTAAAATTAGCATTTTCCCATTCTCTAGCTTTTTTGTGCCTCAAGCTTCTGTTCCGAACATATGGCTTTAGGATCAACTAGGAGCAGTTCCACATGGAACCAGTTCAATCTGATATATTTGACAACATTTTTTGTTTTTATAAAGCATTTTAAATGCCATGATAATCACAGTTAATGAACTCTAATGCCAATTAAGACCTTCATTTAACAAATAATAATTTAATGACTTTTAATGATTTTTTAATGACCCACAGAAACCCTGAGTTATGGCTTCTATCAAAAGTTAAACCTTTCCTATCTACAGTAAGGCGAATCAAAAAGCAACTATCCTTGTTTTTATTGGCTCAGAACCTGACTACTTTAACACCCTTTATAAGAATCTGTTAATCTATCCTCTACAAGCTTCAGCTGGTGCAAAATATAATACCCAAATGTTCTCCAATGCTCTCAAATCCATCTATATTACTTTATTTTTATTTTTTTTCTCTCTCCACTGGCCTCCAGTTTTTTTCCAAATAGACTATACAGTCTTCTTCTTCTATTCCTTCTAGCTTTGCTCTAAAGAACTTATCTGAGCTTTTAACTTTCCCTACTACTTTATGGCTTTGTGATCCAAACATATCGCTCTACAATTCCCAGGAATAGATCTAAAGAATTAATTACCCAGGTGAGAAAACCTAGCCTAGTGAGACCATCCTGATCTCGCAAGCTTTCAAGGTTTCGCTCGCAGATCAGTCTGGAGCCGTTCACCAAACGAACGTCCAATCAGCGTTGGCTTTGAGGCGGGTTGAGGTGTGACGCAACGAGAAGCGCGACAGGTCAGTCTAAAGAACATGGCGGCTTCAGCCGATGAAACTAGCGTTAGCGTGGCTATTGAGCAAGTTTTATGGGAATTACAGAGTATTTCTTCACTGAAAGAAGAGCAAAACACTGCTCTGGAGGCTTTTCTCAGAGGAAAAGATGTTTTTGCTCTTCTCCTGACTGGTTTCAGCAAGAGTAGCCTGGCTTGTGGTTGTGTTTTCGTCGTCGCTCTGTTAGTACGTCATATGCTTCGTTGATCTGATTGGTTTATTTGGCCCGTCTATCACCAACATAGGCCAATCAGCTAACCAGTATTTTTACCCCTTCCCAAAATTACTTCAACGGAAGGAGCAAATCCATCTGGCGGAGTCAGGTTAGAGAAAACCAGGCATTTTTCTTCCCGTCTCGCCTATTTGCTCCAAAAATATGAAGCACATTGAGCACTGGTTGGAGTTTTGTAAAATGCTTTATAAATAAAATTTGATATGAAACTTTATTGAAAACATTTCAGAATATTTACTTACGCATGGGAAACCGGTTTGAGTCCAACCCACTGTCTCTATTTGACACCTCACACTTGTAGTTTCTTCAGCCCAGTGATCGCAAATGCCTTTATAGTTGACAATAGACGAAGCACTTTGTAGAACAGTATGGCAATAATTATTCTATCTCCATGCAGGATTCATCTAGAGTTCATGTAAACTGTTGCAGGGGATTAGGCCTACCTGTATAGCAGATCTGGGGAATAAAATCCAGAAGCAGTTTACAAAAATAGGACATAGCAGATTATACATCTAGAGGAAGAGCAGACCCTGTGCTTGCAGCAGATCTTGCATAATCTTCTGTAGGTCTGTGAGAGGCAGCAGCTCTGAAGCAAACTGAACAAAATCACCAAAGCTGCCAATGTTAGGATTCTACCGCATTTACACATCAGACCAATGAAATAAAATATTCTGTTAGATTAGATTAGATTAGATGAGCTTTATTCATCTCACAGCGGAGACATTCACTCATCACATATTGGCATAGAAGTTACAGAAGGTGCAAACAAGGAGGAAAAAGGTGCATTAAGAATAAACAATATACACTATATTGCCAAAAGTATTTGCTCACCTGCCTTGACTCACATATGAGCTTAAGTGACATCCCGTTCCTAATCCATAGGGTTCAATATGACGTCGGTCCACCCTTTGCAGCTAGAACAGCTTCAACTCTTCTGGGAAGGCTGTCCACAAGGTTTAGGAGTGTGTTTATGGGAATTTTTGACCATTCTTCCAGAAGCGCATTTGTGAGGTCGCACACTGATGTTGGACGAGAAGGCCTGGCTCTCAGTCTCCGCTCTAATTCATCCCAAAGGTGTTCTATCGGGTTGAGGTCAGGACTCTGTGCAGGCCAGTCAAGTTCATCCACACCAGACT